GGACTACTTGACACGACGGACCAGATTCGCAGGCTGAAGAGGCACTATCCTCTAGACCTAAACGCAAGATTCATTTAGTTATCCAAACTAAGCATATGCACTTACCTATAATACCTACAAATTATACCTATCTATAACAAGTATTAACTTATTGTAAATAAACAGCCATGTCACTGCGCCACGCCAGAAAAATTACTGAAAATTCTCAACGCGAGAATTGATTGTACTTTCAACAAATAAATAAAAATAAATTTTGAAGATTCATTTAGTTATCCAAACTAAGCATATGCACTTACCTATAATACCTACAAATTATACCTATCTATAACAAGTATTAACTTATTGTAAATAAACAGCCATGTCACTGCGCCACGCCAGAAAAATTACTGAAAATTCTCAACGCGAGAATTGATTGTAATTTCAACAAATAAATAAATAAAAAAAAAAAAAATCACCTTATCTGCATGCGATTGATATCGTTGTATTCCAACATATTTATTTACTTATTTGTTCACTTAAGCATTGAATAATTCTACTTTCTATGCATCTACTTTATAAGTATGTTGATATTCATAAATACATGAATTTATATTTATTAATTCAAATACTTTGATCTCTTTTGTACTCCTCCTTTATTGATGTGATTCCGCTTAACTTTGTAATGATTCTCTCGCGACGACTGAATTTGTACTTCAGTGCAACCTTAATTACGGCATCATTATATACGCCCTAGATGACGCAAAAAACTTGTCTTGGTAAAATTCGTTAAGCATCATGCGTCAATTTCCTCGAAATATTATCATATTTACTAATATTATTATTATTGGCGCATTAAGTTACGAACGTTCGGAACGCGGGATCGAATGCCGGCGACCGAAGTCCGATTTTTCTTCCACGATCCTAAAGTAGGAAGTAAATATTAGCAGTATCCTCAGCAGCGATATCTACACAGCCACCAGCCACAATCATCACGGACACACATATTCACCTCATGTGTATATGCGTATACTAAAAATTGTAAACGCACAAAAATATTTACAGCATATTTATATTTAGGCATAGTCCGTATGTGGTGGATATCTTTAAGGAGGGGATGTACCGCGTAAAATTTCCGCGATGCCCTATTTTATCGAAGAGGAAATTCGAGGAATTCCCGAATGAAGCGCACGAAGATATGCTATCGCAGAACAATAATATTTTGACGGAAACCGAATATCATGTTGCATATGGACCGTTTATGCGTGTGCGATTATTTATGGGAAAATGAAAATATATGAGTTAACACTCTTAAAAACGTTAAATTCCATTATATTTACATGGCAGAGAACGAAAATTGTCATGTCACAACTACAAAATTTAGTTTACAACACAAGCATAGAAAAATTTGTTATTCGGCGTTAATACGATTAAAATTAGTCATTTTAAAGGACGTCTCGCTTTGAAATTATGTTTCTAGTTTCGTTAACTTCAAATATATGCCCCCCTTCGGCGTCAGTAGAAACGACGTCTTAGTAAACTCGTATGGAATCATGGTTTTGTCACAAACGTCCACTTTATAATTACGAAGAATCGTGATTAGACCCACTTTGGTTTGATAAATAGCGAAACGTGCACCTAAGAATAAAAATGAAGCAAGTTAATAAATTGGTAATTTAAACAGAAACGAACAACTTCAACAGAAACGCTCGTATAATTGAACGTACCAATGCAATTTCTTGGTCCATCGCCAAATGGTAAATAGGTCATCGGATGACGAGCCTCAATGGCGTCTTCGTTGAAGTTCTCTGGATTGAACACGTCAGGATTTGGATAAATGTCAGCATCATGATGCAACGAGTATGTGGGAATCCATATCATTAAACCCTTCGGTATACTGACTTTTGTGTTCTTGAAAGTATAGGCGGAAGTAGATCTTCTTGGCAATATAGATCCTGGTGGATACTTCCTTAATGTCTCTGTGAAGATAAATTAAGAAAGATCTTTTATTATATTTCTTTGTAAAGCTTTAACCTTCTATTCGAAGTAAAGCTACGCATACCTTTAAACACTTTCTCCAAGTATTCCATGTCTTTAACATGTTCGTATTGCAACTCTCCGTTATGTTTCGCAAGGTGTTCCCTGATCTCTTGACGTAATTTGTCTTGAATTTCTTGATTTAGGGCGAGTTCGTAAAGAGCGTTGCTCATTGCCGACGACGAAGTTTCAAAGCCGGCAGCAAAGAAAACGAAAGCTTGCGCAGTTAATAAGCTATCCGTTAATTCTGCAAAATACCGTTCACTTGTGTTAATTAAATTGTTATATTGTACTAAGAAGTGAGTCGTGTTATTTTCTTTCTTATTATATTCGCCGACACGATACAATGTGATTGTATTTTCTTAGCATAAATTGCGATGCGACATTAAAATTAAGTTTTTACTATAAACTTACTAATGTCGCCCAATTTCTCTGGATGTTCTTTCAATTCCATAAGCATATGTATAAAGTCAGGCCTGTATATGTTATGCTCTTTCCTGTACTTCATAGTGTCTGTCACGAGCTTGGTAAAGAACGGAGCATGTCTTTTGTCGGGTACGATGTAACCCAACAAATCGTACAGTTTCGGCATGTACAGTCTGAGTTTTAACCGTATTACGTTCTCGAGGTTCAAGGCGAAGATTTGTCTGCCGATTTCACGAAACTCACTGTCTTCGTCCGATAACGAGCTCATCTCGATTCCAAAGGCGCAGGAACCAATCACGTCGGTCGTGAATTTCGCTGTTACCTCGCGAAAATCTATGGGCTCTTCCTTCGCGGTCAGTTTATCCAAGTATTTTTCGAAATGGTCTGCACATTCGAGGATGAGACCAAACATGTCTTTCAGTTTGCCCGATGTGAACATTGGAGTGAGCTTCGATCTTAACGGACGCCATCTTTTTGGTTCCAAATTGAAGAGATGCATAGACAATGGTTCTGTCTGTGAACAGTTCGCGATATTAGTTTAAAAGCCAACAAAGTATTTTCTTTTAAGCAAACAGGACAAATACAACGTTATGGCTGGAGAATATAAAATTAGAAATTTCTTCGTTGGAAGATCTATTTTTATGTCTCTGTTTACGATAAAAATATTTGTTTACTTCGTGATAGCACCATTAATAAATCATGAGTACGAATAAGAAATATGGATAAGGAACACGGAGTGGCTATTAATACTTTATCGCTCATTTTTTCACTTACAAATGTCACTTACAACATACCCTTTCATGAACAGCAAATCCTCGATCGGCGAATCTCGAGAAATCTCTAATCATGACATCTTTTATCAGTTCCGGATCTTTTAAAATAAGAACCGGTGATCTTCTCATGTACAACCCAATCATCGGCTCGTTTTTGTATACTTTATAAAGATTCTGCTGGTAAGCCACCATTGATATTCTTGCAAACATCAGGTCTATGGTGTTTCCAAATAAGAATACAGGCTTTGGTCCTCGAACTCCACGACTCTTCCAAAAATCGAAGGTTGACGTGGAATAATAATAGAAAGCCAGAAGTAATGCGGCTAACCCGCACAAAATTTCAAAGCCACTCATTATAATTTCTCTTCTGAAAAAGAATTTATAATGTTGTGCTATAAAAATTCTGCAGGACATTTCTTTTCGCCGTAGAATAAAAGAAGAGGGGTTAAATTATATCGTTAAAGCGGTGTTGTAGATACACGCGAACACGGTGATATTTTTGATAATCTTTATTCTGAATAAACGCGCGTATAAATCTGCTTAGCCTCTCCGTGAGTTTAGAGACATGTCCTTGTTGAGCAACGTATGTCGAATTATGAATGAAATATATTGTCTTATTTGCGTTGTTAATATAACGCATACATAATATATGAACAGTATCTGACTTGTTTGTTAATGCTAATTGCAGCGTTATTGAATATATTCGATGATTACATAGAAAATTTTGAAACTATAAATTCTTATATACATCCGTTATCATTACATGCATATTGTATGAAAGTGTTCTATTTTTGTATTTTAAAACGTTGTTGTTTTAAAAAGTATTTAAATGCGACGTGAATCACGCAATATTCATATCAACCAGATTATCAGACGCGTAAAGCTATCTGCTGCATTACTCTACTTTGGCGATATCGATATAATTGATACAATATTCGTTGCGCGTAAAAAATGAGAAATATATGCATGTCAACGCTATTCGTGTTATTATTAACAAGCTGTGCTATTCAAAATTAGTAAAATTACGTATATGTACTTATGTAGTATATTTCTGTCGTTCTGTGTATAATTACATTGAAATCGTTATCAGTGTTGCGTTGCATAATTTTCGACGTTTTATGTTTGCAAAACGAGTAGCATGCATCGAATAATAAAACTAACATTCACCACTTGAATGAAACTGTTGGAAGTATTATCCTGAAATATGTATATACATACACAATATAAGACAATAGAATTACAAGTAGGTTTATTAAGATAAAAGCGTTATATAAGGTTCGATATAGTACTTACGAATCAACTGATATCGCTTTTCGTTATTTTCCAGACGCACATAAGTACGTATGTATATAGATGTCTTATTAGTGCTAGACGATATGTTCCTGAGTCGCGAAAAATGATGTTGTCCCTAACATGATGTAGAATAGACTAATGTTAATTTACTGGCGCTTTCGATCTTTAAACGCATACTCTGACGTTTATCGGAGACATACTCATGATGACTTGCAGATAAAGAAAATGTTACGTCCGATGATTTTATACAAATCAGGCCCCACGTCGCAGGCAAGATGACAACCAGATGTCACACTCCTTTACTGTGTGCCCTCAATAGGCTTAAGGATCCAGCATAAATCTTGGCATTTTCATAATTAAGGTCCTTTAGACTAAACAAATATCTTTTAGTTCGAGTGTTCATTAAATTTATTCTCTACTACGGGAAGATACGGAAATTTGGTTTTTCCCACGTTCGGTATCTCCCGCTGGCAACTTTCTCTCGGGGGTGGCTGGGACCTTTCCTTGCTCACCAACTTTCTTCTTATTCAATCAGAAGCAACGACTATTGGCCTCACTTTCCTAGCCAAAATTGTCATTAACAAATCCAATGGTCAAATGGAGGGGTGTGTGCGCTAGACACACCCCTCACTGGCTTTCCACCGCACGGCATCGTCACCGAACTTCATTGACTTTCCATCCTTTGATCAGTCAACAACTCTCTACTAGTCGCCTAGTCGCTAAATCGCTGAACCCATTTCTCGATTCATATTTTAATTACGATTTATACCTCTCGCGACACCATAACTCACTATTTGCAAGTCACTTCTATTACGACTAACATCGTGATCTTGCAAATAACTATAAGAATCGAACACTTCTAACTTTATTGTAAACGATATTACAATACGTATCTCTGATCATTTATACTCTCCGTGAAATAAGTTGTTGGAATAAAATATATATTATAACCTGTTAAACTCAGTGTTATACTAATTCAACCACCTCTATTACCCTAATCGAAATAAGGGATCGATCATTTCGTGGCATCGATAATCCAATCGTAACGAGAATTTGCGTTGACGCGCCTTCTCCGCGATCGCGTCTCTCCGAGAACGGTCAAACAGAAAGTGATTTCATAACTGTCATTTTGAAAGATACTTATAGGATGGGCTTAAAAGTACAGTCAACGAGACAAATATGGAACGCGTATAAAATAACGAAGATTCTAGTAATGGGGGATTCAGCAATTTATTCAACCCTTATTCGACTCTGAATTTTCTTAATTTACGTTATTCAATGGTAACAAATTGACAACAATGACAAACGATCAGCATAATAAAAAGTACGGATATATATTAATTCTCTCATTAAAAATTCGATACATCCGGTGTTCATTCATAAAAGCTCAGAAGAGTATGTCAATACCAGGTGAAAGTAGTTAGATTTTCTCAGTTCTGGCGGAAATTCTACATTGTAATCGTCGCATCCTTTCCAAGAAGGAATGTACTAGGAGAGCTGAGAGAGAATGCCAGTGCCACGTAAAGTTGGTACTTGGATGATAACAAGAAGGCTGAGTCGTAATTCAACTACTAATTTTTCTTTATAACACTTTATTATAAGATTTACCACTTACAAGAGAAACACTGAACCGGAGAATAGGGGTTGTATGAGTACAGCAACTAGAAGAGGAACAAGAACTGCCCGAGCTGGGTGAAGTCTCGGTTTATATACGTTTTGGTTTTAGGATGTTGAGGGGCTAGGTGTAGGTTATGATGTAGAAAAGTGTCCGAAGGTCGGGGATCCATATCCTATCTCTGATGTGGACTGAGGTGCGTTACAGCCTTGGTGTATGCTATGATGATAAGGTGGTGATGTGTCCAAAAGTGTCCGAAGATCGGGGGTCGACGTATTATCACTGATGTAGGTTGAGATGTGATTGATGTCACACCAGCAATGCAACCAATTGGTCAAAGTTAAAGATCTCCATAAAGGATTCAACTAGTGCAAGTTTTTATGTCAGTTCAAGTAGTAGAGATGTACCGATTAGGGTTTTGGTTAGCCATCTAACCTTTTAATCGATCTCGATTAGTCGTCTCTGCCGATCACTTTCAAATACCGCAACAAAATGTATCAAATTTCTGTCATATTTATTTTATTAACGTCTTGTTTCTGTGTCTTAAAATTCTTTTTAGTATAATATAATAATATAAAATAAAATAATATATTATAACATAATGACTTATTATAACAATATAAGTATAAGAATAATTTTTTTTTATGCCTTAGCTATTTTCAAATACACTCCTCCTTTCAGCGTCAATATAAAGGCATGAATGTCATTTTCATAAGGAATCTTGGTTTTCTCGCAGACATCGACTCTATGGTTACGGAGAATCGTTGCAAGTCCAACTTTGCTTTGATATTGCGCGAAACGGGCACCTACAAATAATTATAAAAAATTATATATTTATTTGGCTTGAAGGTTTGGGAAGGAAACTTTTCACAGAAAATTTTGAACAAATTCCAACTCATGAAGATTTTATATGTTAAAGATAGAAGAAATGCTTTCTAAATGGGAGAAGATGATAGAAGGTAAGAAAAAGATGTTGACGATTTATCTTTTCCATAATGTCATGCTGATTGAAACCGACGATCCAAGTACGTGCCAACGATTTGATATTTTCTTATTTTATTATTTTATTAGCATACCAATGCAGTTTCTTGGTCCATCGCCAAAAGACAGATAACTCATAGGATGCCTAGCGGCGACAGCATCCTCGTTAAATCTTTCAGGATCGAATTTCTCAGGATCCGGATATACATTTGAATCATTTTGAATGGCATATATTGATATAAATATATCTGTTCCTTTTGGTATGGAAATGTTCGTGTCTCTAAATGTATAATTTTCCATCGCTTGTCTGTTTAGCATAGGTAATGGCGGGTATTTTCTTAGTGTTTCTGCGGAGAAAAGGCATAGAAAATATTACCATTCGTATTAATAAAATTATTTTTTGCATATTTCAATAATTTTGCGAGTTTACCCTCTACTACGCACCTTTAAGTACTTTGTCCAAGTATTTCATTCTTTTGATATCTGCGTATGTCAAAACTCCATTACTTTTGTCGTAGACGTCTCTAATTTCTTCTCTTAGTTTGTCTTGTATTTCGAGATTTTGTGCTAACTCGTAAAGAGCATGTGACATCGTTGAGGAAGTTGTTTCGAATCCACCGACGAAAAATGCGAAAGTTTGCGAGGCAAGCAACGCGTCTGTGAGTTCTGCAAAATACAACAAGATTCGTTACTATGCATTATTATGATATTGCAATAATAATTTTATTATGATAATTTATAATATGATATATTTATAATGATAATTTTATTCGAAGCATAATATTAAACTGTATTCTCATCCTCACCAATATTGTTAACTCTATCCGGGTGTTTCTTCAGTTCCATCAGCAAGTGCACAAAATCTGGTCTGATTATGTTATTATCCATCCTGTACTTCACCGTATCGATAAATAAATTTACAAAAAAGTCATTGACTTCTTTTGGTTGCAGGTAAGAACCAATTATTTTATACAAGAGTGGTGTAAATTCTCTACAAAAATCTCGAATTATCTGTTTCGCGTTAACTGCAAAAATTTGTTTGCTCATTCGAAGAAATTCAGAGTTCTTATCCTCGAGAGCATTCATGTTTAGTCCAAAAACACAGCTACCGATCGAATCGATCCCGAATTTTGCAGTCAACTCACGGCACTCCACTGGTTCATCCTTCTGCGCTAATTTTTCCAAGTGTTTCTCCAACTTTTCCGCGCATTCTGTTATAAGTGGGAACATTTCTTTGAGCTTGCCGGATGTGAATACCGGCGAAAGTTTAGCTCTCAACGGCCTCCATCTTTCAGCTTCTAACATGATGAGATTTTGCTGTATTGGTTCTATCTACGCAAGAAATAGCAATAATAATTAGTTACTTGAAAAGTGTATGTAACGCAGAAACAATGAAGTTGTTAATTACTTTTTCATCATATATTTTAAATCCTCGGTCAGCGAATAAAGAGAAGTCCTTGATGAGAATATCTTTAATCATATCTAGGTTGTTGGGCATCAGAAATGGTGATGTTCCTATGTATATTCCAAAAGCTGGTTCATTCTTATATTGGTCGTACAATCTCTTCATCCAATCGGCCATCGATTCTCTTTTAAGAAGAACGTCCAGAAAGTTGCCAAAGAAGATTATCGGTTTTGGTCCAGGTATATTGCGACTTTTCCAGAAGTTGTAGCATGAAGAGTAATGATAATAGATCGCAAGAAGTAGTATGGAAATGCCACACAGTAGTTGAAAATAGTCCATGTCGAACGAGATTTCTTTAATTTCAACGAATAAATATCAGTGTTTGTAGGGTAGTTTTGAAATATAGAGTGTGCAATTAAAAACGTATTCTTAACTATTAATGATCGAAAATTTTGTATCTATATGATATTGTAACAGGATGAACATTCAGAAGGATAAAAACATAAATAAATCGTTAACGGGCAAGCTGAATACGACTAATGAATTTTGTTTGATTTTTAAAAACTTACCTCACTTTGGGCTCAGGATGAGATATTATTATGGTGTAACATGTCGTTTCTATACAATTGTGATAAATGAACCGCAACAGCGTGGAGTTCACATAATAATACTAGCAATAGGAAAATGAAAGACAGGCGCTTACGATTAGTGACGACACGACGCATCACGATGGCGACTACTTCGAAGTAGATAACGATGATCGCGCTCGGATGATCATTAGTACTAGCGATGAATCATGGAACGTACTTCCTTGATGTTGTTTTTTCTACTTATACTCTATAAAACTTTTAATGAAATAAAAATATTTATGGCATAAATTTTCAAAAATTTGTCAAATGTATAGCATAACTTTAGAATGTTCGTGGCATTTAGTCGAGTTTCGGACAAGTAATTTGCTATTAACCCCTTCCCGTGCCATTTAGTTCGACGAAACAGATCACACTGATGCTCGTAAACAGGAACTTACATTCAGTTACGATCGTAACGGGGGAAAAAACAGTCCGCGAGCTCGGTTTGTTATGTTTACGTTTGGTCCAAGTATCTGGTCGCGAATCAGACTCGCGATATTCATGTTTGGGCCAAAATCTTCATCGCGAGTCTGACTCGCTAAAGTACAGGAAGGGGTTAAACTAAGAGCACTATCCGCACGTTTTAAAATTAATTGTACGGATTAGAAAATTAATTGCACATAGAGTGAGATTCTGTTTATATAAACCCCATCGAGGGACGATTTGGTTCATACGACCAGGTCGTTTATATAATAGAAGTCCATCTATATACAGGGTGGCTGGTAGCTGGTGGTACAAGCGGAAAGGAGGTGATTCTACGCGAAAAAATAAGTCGAAAATATAGAATAAAAATTTTTCGTTCGAGGCTTTGTTTTCGAGAAAATCGACTTTGAATTTTCGCTCGGTACGCGTGCACTTTATCGCGTCTCGTTATAACGGATCTCACTGTAGATCGTTGTCTCGATGGAAAAATTAAAAAAAAAAATTTTTTTTTAATTTTTTATTCTATATTTTCGACTTCTTTTTTCGCGTAGAATCACCCTCTTTCCGCATGTACCACCAGTTACCACCCATCCTGTATATTTCTCTCTAACGATTTTTGGTTCAGTTAATAAGAATACATTTGCTCTTAAATACGCAATAACGTTGCAAGCCTCTATTAATTGCGACGCATGAGAGCGTATCACACAAGGAGCGCACCCATTATTTACATATTAAAATTAGACATTGTATACATAACTGAATTAACGCGCAGCGATAGTTCGGATTATAGGAGCTTACCTAAAGTTCATTTAATCAGATACTATTAAAATAGCGCACGTAAACAGAGGTATCATAGAAATATAAACAAAGAAACTCTTTCTGGTGTCTTCAGTCAAGTGACTATAGTGACTTGTCACCAAACTGATATTGTTATGGCAGATATCTTGCAGCAGACAAACCACGAAAAGAAAAGTTCAGGAACACCGATGCCGACTGATAAAGATTTAATAACAATCTATAAGTAGATGTACCACCAGTTACCAACCATCCTGTATATTTCTCTCTAACGATTTTTGGTTCAGTTAATAAGAATACATTTGCTCTTAAATACGCAATAACGTTGCAAGCCTCTATTAATTGCGACGCATGAGAGCGTATCACACAAGGAGCGCACCCATTATTTACATATTAAAATTAGACATTGTATACATAACTGAATTAACGCGCAGCGATAGTTCGGATTATAGGAGCTTACCTAAAGTTCATTTAATCAGATACTATTAAAATAGCGCACGTAAACAGAGGTATCATAGAAATATAAACAAAGAAACTCTTTCTGGTGTCTTCAGTCAAGTGACTATAGTGACTTGTCACCAAACTGATATTGTTATGGCAGATATCTTGCAGCAGACAAACCACGAAAAGAAAAGTTCAGGAACACCGATGCCGACTGATAAAGATTTAATAACAATCTATAAGTAGCTAATATCTGAAAGAACAAATTAATCATTTTGCGTTTTTTTGCATTATATTCAGTTATAGATGACACGTAAATCAGATTTTGCCATAAAACTACGCTCCATTAAATTCTAACTCATCGTTTGATAATAATTGTCATCACGTAGAGTATAAAATAAAGTAAATGATGCTTGTGTGATTATATACAGATATTTTCTGATAATTAATCTCGTTTGCTGATAATTCAGCGCGACAGATAACACCGTTGCTTGTAATAAACAAAATTATTACTACGTTCATTTGAAACAAAATAACTATCGCATAAGTCTGTGTATGGTTTGATGATAAAAGCAAGAAGAATGATGTTAACCTATAGAATATAACCTATAATATATGTTATCTAACATTTTCACTTTTCGACGTATTTTTGCTGCCACGCAATTGCACCATGTGTACTTATAATCAACTACACGCTATATAGCCAACGTATTGCAGTAATGTGACCGTAAGATACTGTACACTTACTTGTTGAGATAGGTAATTATATGAAGATGAAAGCTTCCTGTAAGAAAGAAACTGTTTGGATTGTATCTACGATCAATGCCAAACTGTACTAACTGAAGTCGTTTCAGCCAGAAATAGTATGACTGTAAATTTGCTTCTACCCACTCTCCATATGGCGCAGTTGATGAGTAGCAATTGGTTAACGCCTTCTTCGTACGCCGCTTACACGGCTTATTTTTTCTTATCTTCGAGCAGTCGAAAATTATGTGGAAAATTGTCGATTGTATCAAATTTATTCGGAGTAATTTTGTAATTACAATAACGATTCGTTTTTATGTGCTAACAAAGTTGGTCCTTTTGTCGTTATCTTTATAATACTGTGTGAATGAAAATTCACGATAACCGAATTCTATAATGATACTTCCACCGAAATTTTGCTACATCTACGTTTCAAAAGTTTCAAGCGTTATCAATGAAATATTTTCATTCTCTGATACGATCGTATCTAAAGAATTTGTACACAATAATACAACTTAATTTACAGTCATTGCAAAATACACGATATAATAGTATAATTAGATAAAAAATACATTTAAATAATTATTTACATTAACATTGTGCTTTAGTTATCTTTAAATTTATCCCGCCGGCGAGCGTTAACAAAAATGCCTGTTTGTCCGGTTCGTATGGAATTTTGGTTTTCTCGCAAACATCGACTTTGTGATTGTGCAGAATCGTTGCAAGACCGACCTTGCTTTGATAATTGGCGAATCGGGCACCTGAAAGCAATTTTTAAAAATTACATCGATCCGATATCGTATAATTAATCGTATAATTACCATAGTATTAACTAATAGCATTATATAAGAATAAGGCTACAAGATACTATGTTGCGAGTATATTTTATTTATTTTATTTAAATACCAATGCAGTTTCGCGGTCCATCGCCAAAGGGTAGATAGCTCATAGGATGTCTGGCAGCAACAGGATCCTCGTTAAATCTTTCCGGATCGAATTTCTCAGGATCTGAATAAATATTTGAATCGTGTTGGATACCATATACTGGTATCCATACTATTGTTCCTTTTGGTATGGTGATTTTTGTGCCTTTAAACGTATAATTCTCCATTGCTTGCCTGCTTAATATCGTCAGTATTGGATACTTCCTTAGTGTCTCTATGAAGTAACAAAAAATATTTCTTCCGTAAAAATAAAGCACAGGTTTTATTCGCGAGAATCGGATCTATTCTCTCATTTATAAGTAAATGATCATTTTACTATCTTTTGAATAATCAAGTGTTTCTTTCTTTTTGTTATAAATTGTCATTACAGATTTCATTAGGTAGGCTTTAATATTCTTTGGCACACACCTTTAAACACTTTGTCCAAATATTTCATTCCTTTGATACCTTCGTACGTCAGAGTTCCACCATCTTTGTCGTACGCATCTCTAATTTCTTCCCGTAATTTATCTTGTATTTCCTGATTTTGTGCTAATTCATAGAGAGCATGCGCTATCGTCGACGAAGACGTTTCGAATCCAGCAATGAAAAAGACAAACGCTTGCGCGGCAATTAGGGAGTCGGTTAGTTCTGTAAAACACACAATTTTTTGTTATAACTCTGTTAGTGACATATGTATTTTTCGCGATTTCATTTAAGATATACTTTCAAATTCCCTACTCACCAACATTTTCCATCTTTTCCGGATGTTCTTTCAGTTGCATCAGCTGGTAAATAAAATCTGGTCTTACTATATTATTCGTCTTCCTATATTCCATTGTGTCACGAACCAGATTTATGAAAAAGTTGTTCATCTCCGTCATCCGTAAAAAGTAACCAACTACGCTAAACAGAAATGGTGTAAGTCGTCTGCAAGATTCTCGAATAGTCTGTTTTATATTGGGAGTGAAAATTTGTTTGCCCATTCTTCGGAATTCGCTGTTCTCATCTTCAAGAGCATTCATGCTGATCCCGAATGCACAGCTCCCGATCACGTCGGTCGTGAATTTTGCAGCCAAATCACGACACTCTACTACTGGCACATCCTTTTCTACTATGTTGTTTAAATATTTTTCTAAATTTCCCGCGCACTCTGTTATAAGTGGGAACATCTCTTTCAGTTTACCGGAGGTGAATATTGGTGATAACTTCGTTCTCAGTGGTCGCCACCTCTTGGCTTCCAAAAGGAAGAGATGCTGCGACAATGGCTCTATCTACGCATGAAATTATATATCGATAAATTTACAAACACTTTGATTTCGGGAAGTCTTGCAATTGTTGCGAGTAATAATTTCCGAAAAATGTTTGTACGATTATTTTATTATTTCCAAAACATCTCGTTTATCTTTGAACTCAAGATGCTTTTTACGTCAAATCAACTGAATAAATCTGTTTTCAATAATGTTGTTGCGCGGAGCAATCAATGAAGGAAATACCTTTTCAAGTACTTTGAATCCTCTGTCCACGAATAAAGAGAAGTCTCTGATGAGAACATCCTTGATCAAGTCTAAGTCGTTAATAACAAGAATCGGTGATGTTCCTTCGTATATACCAAAGACCGGTTCACTTTTGTACTCGTTGTAGAAATTTTTCACAATTGTGGCTACGGCCTGTCTTTTAAGGAGAAGATCCACAAAATTGCCAACAAATATTGACGGTTTTGGTCCAGGTACGCCACGACTCTTCCAGGTGTCATAAACCGAGCTATAGTAATAATAGATCGCGAGAAGTATTGCAGCAATGCCGAGGAGAAGTTGAAAATCCATGTTGTAAGGTACTAAATTCCAATAATTAAAAATCACAATCAATGATTGCTATCGTTTCTCTATTTTACTTATTTTTAAATGGTTTTACGCTTCGTTTCAAAATTATCAATCTTCAGTTTATTACGACGGATTGGTGTTTCAGAAATATTTTTCTCGAATAATCGTATTCCATACGATCGTATTAATAACAAATAAATGGAATTCCTAATAACAAATAACTGGAGTCCTTCGGTCGATTTTTTTTTTTAATTGCTCTCTGTCAAGCGGAAGCAAGTGTTTACATACCTTTGAACGATAGTCTATGGATATGCGAGGAAAATGTGCTTCTGATGCAATAATGTTAGTAAAGTAATAATTTCCCGTGATATACCTAGATTACAAAATATACTTCGTGTTGCTTTTATCATCTACGTGCACTGTGACGAACTCCCAATGTAGTGTAAAAATCGTAGTTATTCTTATCACGTTACCAATATCAGAAAGCAGCTAAAAAATCAATAAGTTTTGCTTGATCGATAAGAACATTTAAATTTTATTTTTAAATTGTAAATGAACACTTAAGGTAATTAGTTGGTTGAATAAAAAATACGTGACATTTAAATGTACAAATTAAATTTCAAATTGTTGTCACACTTACATGGTTGTTCTTTAAATAAAGCTTCTACTAAGTAGGAAAAAACGTGTCTGTCCGTATCTCACACAGAATGTTGAATGATATTAACGATGATGCTTCAACTTGAGTCAGCTGAGCGATAGCAACAGAGTCATTTTAGCTACTGTCGGTATTTTGCTGCTTGGCGTCATGCAACATACACTATTTATACGAATTTATACGAATATTCTCCTTCGCTTATCTAGAGAATACGTATATATATATATATGGCAATAAGTAGTTTGGATATCGTATTATTTTATCAGTTTTTTCTTGGGAGGAATTTGATAACAAACAGTGACACAGCGTTAGTCCATTTCATTATATAATATTTATTTGATTTATAGAAATATGACCCGTATGACCATTAAATATATTTATAAAACATATAAAAAATATGAAATATAACGGATGACAAAATCAGTTTAAAAATATAATAGAAATAATGTAGGGAAACTGTGTATATATATATATATATATATATATATATATATATATATATATATAAACAGTATTTTTCGAGAGTCATTCTGATAGATTGCAACAAAGTCCTTGACAAAGATTTACTCGTATCGTTTACGTAAACCATTCGTCATTGTGTACCGTCACCGTATGGTTTGCGAATATAATCACGAATTTACTGATACATATTGGTTCAATATATAAATCATCAACAGCCTTGATTCAATCTTTTGCTAACTCATTCTGACAATGTAATGTGTCATGAATATAAAAAACAATGTTTATCTGATTTATGAATTAATTTATATGAATGAATATATTTACTTGTGAATTAAGTAACAGTAGTAAAATGTTAAGCGAATAAAAAATATTAAATCACTGTAAATAGAACAGTCTGCTTTTGCCGCTGATCTAATGATAGAAACTATTTCGCTCTAAGAAAACTGTTCAAGGATTTTGACGTGTTAAAGGCATAAAAAATGTTCAAACCGACCAGCCACAGAAAACGAGAAGAGTGAGTAACAAGTTACCATTGGTAGTAACCGATAGTAAGTATTTTGATTAACGCAAACTTTTAATCGATGCTATAATTTTATTATCAATTTTAAGTCACCATAAATGGTCGGATTAAAATTAGCTAGATATGTACATTATTGCGTATAACAATACAATTCTTTAGTATATTAATTCTCTACTTTGGTTATTTTCAAATGCACACCTCCTTTTAACGTCAGCATAAATGAAAGGGGTTCACTCTCGTAGGGAATCGTAGTTTTCTCACAAACGTCGACTTTGTGATTGCGAATGACGGCTATAATGCCAACCCTGCTTTGATACTGTGCAAAACGAGATCCTGAAAATAACGATTAAGAAGCTACGTCATTCATGCTTTTTTTTTTTTTTTTTTTTTTTTTTT